GATATGACTGTTATTTTTTTCAGCTCGGGTTTCCTTTCCAAACTATCTAATCTAATTACTTTACAACAGGTGTTCTGTTGGACTCAGGTTACCCGAGGGTTCAACTCAAGCCCAATTCATGGTGTCGTGACATTTTCAGAGCCCATATTGTGGCCCAAAATTGCAAGCTTCCAGGTCCACTTTATAGGTTATGGATTAACAAAATCTAATCAGCATATATGTGACATATGGAATAGAGAGATTCATAAAAATAGTATAGAATATAGGAAAAGTACGGAAAGGTTCATTTTAGATTTCTGAATTCCACTGCAGATTTATAAAAATTCAAAATATCAAATACCCTCACTTTATACACAAATGCCCATCTGTGAATTGATATCAATTCTGAGCTGATACCTACCCCAACTGTACTTTAAGTTTGATACTGAAGTAATAATCCTAGAGATGAACCTCTAAAGCTACGAGTACTACTGTGTTTGAGTTTGATTTAACAATAATTGAGCTTCTTTCTACCCGAATACCCATACCGTGTTAATTGCTACTATTTCTAATTCCCATCTTTATACAAAATTTTGTATTCTATATATTTGTATTTGTATTTGTATTCTTTCCAAACTGAGGTTAATGATCACCAGCTAATTGAAAGGGCACTCTCTCTTCCTTTTGCTGTCGATGGTTCCTGGTTTGGGCGTGGCTTGTTCTTAGACTTGGACCTTTGGTGGCTTTTGTTTAATTCTTTTGAGTTTCTACTTTCTTCCTTTTCCTATTGGGGTGTAAATCGGGCTGGATTATTCAGGTTTAGGTCAACCTTAACCCAATCTAAGCGGTTCAACTTCCAACCCTAACCTTAACGTTGGGTTGGCGTTGGGCTTGGGTTGTTGCGCCTTCGTCATTTCTTTTGCCAAGTGTTCTTATATCCTAGGCCTCGTTCATTTTCTACTAAAAAATGAGGTGAATAGGGTGGATCCCACAGAATTGCAATAATCCAATGTTTGGCCTTGGCCACCACCACAATAGGGCCCACCAATATTTTTTTTTTCTCCAGAAAATATTGATTATCCATGAATTGCTGTATTTGCGATTATTTGGGCAACGTTTCCCCCATGAATCGCTAACCCAGGGAAGCACATTACCTGGATAACGCAAAACGAGGAAGGCCCTAGATTCAACGATTCAATTCAAATATAATTTTCGGAAAAGTATTGATAGGCCAAATGCAGATTTCTTAATTTCAATATAGATCTATAAATATTCAAAATGTCAAAAACCCCGTTCTATACACTTTTCAGGTTTCTAAAGTTTGAAGTCTGAAAATATTGTTTTTTAGACGTTAAAGGTGTTTGAAAATGTATCTGAATTTGAACTTAAAAATTATTTTCAAATTTGAAATAATAAAACATAGGCTAAGTGCTAAACGCTTCAGATGCATTTTAAACCTGATCAAAAGTCTAAAATACGCTTAAACATGTTCTTATGCATGCCACATAAGACATTTTTTTCTTTTCAGATATAAAAGTTTAGCTTTATCAAATGCCATCGCAATTATCTGATAAGAATTGGCTTCCAGTTCCTGGAGATAATGTCATGTCTATAAAGCTAAACTTTATAGATTGCACATTTGCACTAAAAACAGAACCAACTGCTTAAAAAGTTAACTTCCATTTAGGAGTGCTTATTTTTTAAGTGCTTTTTGGAGAAAGTCTCGTAAGCACTTATATGTATCTGGTAAATAAACTGCTTTTTCATGAAGATAAGTTTGTTTTGAATAAGCTCAAAACTTTGGCTTTTTTTTTTTTTCAAGTGCCTTAAAAAGTGCTTTTAGCCACTCCTCACTTGTCATGTAATTTTTAAAATACTTATACTACCCCATTTGAAATAAAGAAATCTAGACATTTGGTCGGCCAAATCACTAACACGGTTCCTCTTGTTTTCAGTGTCACGTTTTGGATTTGATTTTATTGATATTATAAAATCTCAAAAATGCCCTATTATGCTCCATTTTATTACACCCTTACCAATTGCTATAAAAAGTAGAGTGGGACCATGCCATTCTCACCATATTATTTTTAATCAATTTATTAATTATTTGTTAGTCTATTAATTTCTAATATATTTTTATTTCTTAACTATTTTTATTTCGTAATCAATTCACTAAATAATTACCAATCATTCTCCTTTTTAGACATCATATATGAGTGCAACCAAGTGGCACCTTGGCTAAGTTTGGTAAGAGTATGAATACAAATATGGAGAGTGCAAATACAAGTTTTTGCATTCTATATATTTGTATTTGCACTCCTTCCAAACTAAGCTTTAGTGATTTACATTACTCTCCTCAAATTCATATTCCTTTAGGAGAAATTCTACAACATGAATGATTTTAGAATCACCACATCAGCAAAAAAAAAAAAAAAGGTTCTAGAACTTTGTTTTTGTTTTTGAAGGGAAAAACAAGTTGCTTTTGTTTCAAAAAAAAAATGTTTTTGGAACCAATAAAATATTGGTTTTTAAAACAAAAACAAATTTTCTTGTATAAAAATTATATAACTTATGGAACATGATGTTGAATAATCAAATGAATACATGTTTCCAAAACAGATTCAAGAACATGCTTTTGGTTTTAGTTTTGAAAACAAAAAACACACACAACCAAGAACATGTTTTTTATAAGGTTTTTAAAATCGAACTGGACAACAAACTGGTCTGAGGTCCGATTCCCAGGTCCAATGATCCGACTGATCAAACCAAGTGAACAGCCCGTTCTAACAAAAAAATAAAAAAACTTTAAAAATTTAAAAAAAATAAGAAGCGACCAAAATTGTTGGACGGTTCAAATGATTTGACTACCCGGGTCAGTGGTTCGGTGACCACCCCTATTTTTCACTAATACTATGGTCAGGGGTGGAGGCAAAAGTATATTGGTGGGCGTCCATCATCCCAAATTTCTTGTTAAAACCATTATGGTCAAAAGCATAATAAAGTGGGTTCTTCCCCCATTCCCCAAAATCAAAATTAAAAAAAAGAAAAGTTTATTTTTTCTTTAAAAAATCTATAATAGGCCGGACCCAAACCTTTCCTCCCCATTTCTCTTATCTCATTTTCTTATTTAACCCCGCCCCAATAAAAGAAAATTTCTGACTCCGCCACTGCCTATGGTCATCTCCCTTTCTTTTGTTCCTAACAACTCAATCAAAATCTTTTTAATATGTGGATCAATTGATCTCTGAAGGATCAAGAGAAAAAAAAGGATTTGTGAAGAAAGCCCCCGTTATGGTGAGCTTCTATTGATTGCTCCCATGGTCGTAACATGAATGCAACATCCCATTTGAAGAAAAAGATGAACAGTATGAAGGGGTAAAACTGAGATTTTAGAAAAAAAATATTAGCGGCCATGTGAAACATCTCTAAACGTTACATTGATAGAAAGTGTGGGTATGGGAGGGGAGCTTGGATCTGTTACCCATTGGCACTACAGCTGCATATTAGAAATGCCTCGCCATTCAACAGAAGATGTTTCCAATATATGATAGCGTTTCATGGGTAGAAATGTGGGAACAATTTGTTGGTGTAGCAGATCCCACCACGAATTGGAAGAATTGAAAATATCTGAGAATCAGTTCTGGACTGATTGTAGGACTTATTTTTAGCAATATGTACAATACTTTTGTGGGAATGATTAAAGTGGCAAAAAAGGAATATTCAATCTGATGGAAAGACATCAAAATTGGCCATGTGGATAAGATCCCAGCCCTTTTTAGGATCATTTATACAACCACCGTAGAAATTGTAATAAATAAATAAATAAGAGATATCTTTCTCTTTCTTCCAGGTGGATAAGTCCAATGTTCAATATGCTGTTGATCCGATCGGATGAACCATTTGAATCGTCAGCCAAACAGGTAAAAAATTGTTAACTTCGTCAAAAACACCTGTTCAATCTGATGAGTCAGTGACCGAGTCGTAGATTGTACATTCGATGCATGCAAAACTTTTGAAAGCCATAACTTTGCACTCTGATGTTCGATTGGAGTGATTTTTCTTTTTTTGATTTTGGGTAACTTTTCAAAATCTATGTGTCCCAAGGCGCATTTCCCTGTTATTTTCATGAAAAAAAAATCCTTTTTGTCCTGAAATTATAATTTTTAATAGTTTTATAAATAAAAAATAAAAAACTGAATTAAAAACATAAACTAAATATAAAATAATACATATAACATATCTAAAACATATTTATACATTATTTATTGCTAAGTATATATTTATACACACATATGCACTGATGTAGCACCGTCTGAACAGTTCAACCCGATCGATCAAACCGGTGACCCGTAGGCAAAAATGGTTCAGCCTCTGAGTCAATTTTTAAAACATTGGATAAATCCCACTCATCTGGACATGATTTTTAAAATTGGACCGAATAAGAAACCATTTGGAGTCCAATTCCCGAGTCAAATAGTTTGACAGTCCAGTCCAAACACACAGCTTTCTCTGACAAAAGAATAAAAAAAATTAAAAACAAAAATAACCAAAAAACGTTTGTCCAAATCGATAATTCAACCACTTGGGTCAACGGTTCACCAAACGGACCGTTCCCAGTTTTTCCGGTCCAGTTCTGAAAGCACTGCATCTGGGTGCAAAACATTTGAATTTCACTATTATATCTTGACAACCTGTGCTGTTCACGGCAAAAAATTAAAAAAAAAAAAATTACTGATACAAGTATTCTGGGTTTATTTATTTATTTGTTGAAGTCTCTTGGCCTCCTGTGAATTTGACAATATCAAAGACCATCTCTAATTCAATAATAGTATAATTATATTAATTAAGCCTCCGTTTGGTTTCAAGTATTATGTAGGAAAATGAACGAGTCATCCAGCAAACAGCCTCTTCTCCTCCATGGAATTCCCACCAAAATGAAGAATCTTAAGCCTACCTACCTATTTACTCAATTAACTAAACTATGTTATTCAACTAACACCAGGAAAAAAGCAAAAACAACAAAAACGAAGAAAAGAAAACTCATTGCAAACAACAAATCCACTATCAACTTTTATTATGGAATCCACTTTTGCAATCCATACAGCCTGTATTAAGTAAGTCGTCCATCCAAAGGGGTCCCAAGCAATTGAAAAGAAAATGAAAAGAAAAAAAAAAGAAATTAAAAGAAAAGGTACCCTTTGGAAATAAAGATGAGAGGAGCTGAACTGAACTCAAGCCTTTCAATTCCAGTCTCAGAACCTGTGAATCTTCTCGGACTTGATCACAGGGTTAGCCTTGGCAATTGCATCCCGACCCAAGGCCTTGAAGTCGAATGAACAGGCGTGCATCTCCGGGTACCTGTGCTCTCCGCAGAACGTACTCCCGCACCTGCACTTGAACCCTAACACCCCAACTCGTTTGTTACAGCACCCACACCTGTTCTTCACCTTCATCGACCGCTCCGCTCCGGTTGCCGTCGAATTCAAATCCGCCGACGATGACGACGAAGCGGAGGAGCCCAAAACATAGCAATTAAGCGAAGATGAAGGACCCAATTGTTGTTGTTGTTGCTGCGTTGATGTTGCCAATGTTGTGGGGTTAAGAGATTTCCCGACAGCAGCTTTAGCAGAGGCGGCTTGTTCTTCCTTGGTGCAGAAGTCTCTGTAGCACTTGGAGCAGAGGTTCAAAGTCGCCGCTGTTCCAAAGAAACCACACCCATTAGCGCAGAGCCGGTGACTTTCCGGAGCCTGGAATCTCTCCTCGGAACCCATCTTCTCCGGTCTCTAAGTCCCGAATCCTTCTCGCTCGCTGGTTTTCGTTTTCCTCAAAGCAATGAAAGAAAGCAGAACTGAAAAATGAAAATGGAAAAACAGCTTAAATATTACTTGTAGGGAAATTTTTTGTTCAAGTCAGAGTTGACAGCTGACTTCAATTTTCACCAATAAGACTAAAATACCCTTCTTACTTGCTTCCCAAGGGTACTTACGTCAAAGGCTACTTTTGTCAAAATCGTACTCCTTCGGGAGCTTCGTGAAACTGTTTTTCCCCTTTTCACACTGGTTTTTCAAGATTTCCTAATTTTCCTACATTTCTCTGTTCCTTCTTCACTACCCATCGGCAACCGCCATTTCAAAGCCGATAACGATATCAGCGAATCACGTTTCAGGAAATTCCTGAGCTATAACCAAACTTTCGATGCAAAACACAAACAGAATCATCAATTATCACTTCTACAAAGAAAAACCGCAATTTTCATAAAATTCCTAAACACCAAAACCAACCCTCTGAAGAAGAAAAAAAAATCAACAGATCCAAAATCGATAAGAAAAATGATACAGATGATCAGATGAAGAACAAGAAATCAAGTTTTTTGCACCCCAAAAAAAAAGAAGAACAAGGAATCAAGCGACAATTACCAACCTGTTTTACTTGTCGATTGATTCGATTCAGGATCTCTATGAATCTGTCTGTCCCCGTCTCTTAGGAAGGGGGAAGAAAAGAACGAACTCCAGAAATGAACCCGAGACTTGATTCTGGAAGGGTAGAAATAGAGCAGAGTCGCCCCTTGTTTAAGCTCAACGACGGCTCATTTTCTTCAGTTTCTCCCCATTATTAATTAATTAAAAAATTGGAATTAAAATATCAATAAACAAAACAAAACTTCTCCTGCTCTACGCACCTTGCGTACCACGTCAGTTCACGAGGCAAAGCCAGAGGTACCCGGTTGATACACCAACAGACCAATCAGCTACATGTGGGCCCCATATCTGAACGGAATATAGAAGGCGAATAATAGGACACGTCATCTAATACCGACAGCTGGCAGTGACGAGAAGATAGTTCTGGTTACTTCTATAAATTATATTCTATTCTATTACACTAAAAACGGTGATACTAATGTCGTCATCTGTTAGGCGCGAGCCGCCGCGTTGGATGGTATGACGTGACGCCTTTTCTTTCGTTTTTGCCCTCGTGAATGCATACGGGAGCACTGACGGGCTGGGTACGTGGCGGTGTAGCTTGTTCAGCGTTTTTCACGCTTACATGAGAATTATGCCACGTCAGTTTCGTACAGATGAGTCCTGATGATGTGGAGCATCACGATTGGTCAAAGTGTCAATTCTCCAGTTTCTCTGGGAGAGGATTCAAGTGCTCACGAGTCGCGAGTCACGAGACTCTGCCACCTAAATCGATTATTAATCGTAATTGTTGCTTTTCGTTGAAAATCAGACTTACTTCAACGCTAAGCATGCAACGGTCCTGATTAGCCATCCCCCGTCGTTCGGATAGTGACGTAAGAAGTAACCGGTGGACGGCGGGTTAATCAACGAACTTACTAAATCAAAGTTTTAAAAAATCGATTCGAAACCGGAACCGTTATGGTCAGCGGTTTTTGGGTTTACAAATTGATCATCCGGTTTGAATGGATGGCCTGATTCAATTAAAAAATAAAAAAATAATTAAAACAAAAAATAGCCAAAGAAAAACTGTTGAACGGGTTAAATGAACTGATGGTTTAATTCAATGATTATCAGCCAAAGATTATGTTTGAAATAAAAGAGAACCGGTTGTCTGAATGCTTTTCAGGCCGAACGGTCCAACCATCTAAATCAACGCCAATTAAAAAAAACTGTGCTAAAAGAGACTGGACCGCTGGAATCGGACCCACCCAAGGTTTTATTTTGGGATGACATATATAAGAATAAACAAAGGAAGAAATGGTATATTATTATTTATGTGGGTTTAGAATTTCTCAAACAAACATTTGTTAATTGTTAATTTTGACTTCTTGCGGAAAAAAAAAATGTTAATTTTGACTTATTAACCTTTCAAACTATCCAATGGGCTCCGCCCCTATTAACTTGTGTATTGCATTAAAAAGTTCCATTAACCAGCAACAGCTAATACTATCTGAAAGAAAGCCATTTCCAGAGTTGGTTGATAGATGGTCAGACAGTGTCCCTCCAATTGTAAAATCAGATATTAAATTCACATGATTGTATGTTTTAATGGTAAGGTCAATGAATTTTACATGCATCCGGCTCTATTTTCTCCCCTTAGGCTGCGTCAGTGTAAAGTCGATAACGTTTTATATTAAACCGTGAAAGTTAACATTGTTTTTTAAATATAATGGGTGAAAGAGTGTAAAATTTTACATTGATAAAATCGATGTAGTATTTACATCGATAATTGATGTAAAATTTTACATTTGATAGGTTTTATATCGATTATCGATGTAAAATCCCACTCTATCTAAATGTACGCAAAACTGAACTGGAGTGGAGTTTTACGTCGATCATGATTACACTTTTCTTCTAAATGCGGATAAAATCAAACCAGTGTAAATTTTTACACCGTTTTTAATTTACGTCAATTCCAAACTGACGATGCGCGGTCTGGAAGCTCCTAGCTGGAGGGATTGCCTGGACGTACTCGCGTGGTGAGCTAGATCAAACTGCAAAACAGGGATTAGAGAGATCGGGGTGGATGACCCGGGGAGATTGCTCTGATGCTTAAGTCAGTATTCTTGTAGTGGTTGCGAGCTAAAGTTGGAGTGCTAAAGAGCTTGAATGTAAGTAATCGCACGTACCTGGACCCTGGAGGGGTTGATGCCCTTATATAGCTGAGCTATCATGGGTCTCGCGAAACGGTTTCGGGATCTGCGACCTGAATGGATGAGATCCGTTTCCACTTTAGTTGGGGAGTAATGTATCAGTCAATGAAGTTTATCATCGCCGTCCGATCCGGGCGGGGAGAGGATAAGGCCTGTCATTATACGGCGTGATCCCGTGATATTCAGAGTCCACTGGGAAGCTTCTGGAGTCGATTACGTGTCACTTCAGTTCCTGAGCCCTAAACTGGCTTAGGTGCCGAGGTGACTTTATGCCGAGGTGGCGGAACATTTGAACTATAGAAACTGCTGATTAGGCACCCCTTGCTGAGTTGTCATTCTTCGGGCAGATCGCGTCCACGTGACCTTTATTTACTAGGTCTTGCCAAATTACCCCTCATCACAAACACAACCTTATAATTTGTATTTTGCTAGTATAAAAAAAATTATACAATTAGTTCTTATCATCACATCACAAGGTGCCAAAAAATGTGATTTTGACATGCTTCCACATCAGCAATATATTGTTGATTGTTTCCACAGGTTAGTCTCCAATTGATCCATGTGAAAATAATGATTGGGGTGATGTGTGCATAAGTATTGGCCACACGGCAAACTGCTTACATTTACTTAGACCTACAAGTTATTCTATGATTGATCCTAGTCAAGTTGCTTATAGGTCATTGTCATAATTGGGAAATACATGAACCACATTAATAAGGTTCATATCAAATCAAAGATGGTCAGAGTTGAATTTAGATGGTGATCTATGATATATCTAGATGAGATTTGATAGGATGGAAGAGGTTAAAGTCTTGGGTGCCTTTGGCAGGTCTTGTTAGTAAGATCTTCCAATAGTTTAGATGGACAAAAGATGTAATGAGCTTTTCGGGTCTTGTTTTTAAAGATTTAGACCGTTTGATAAGTATGCTAATCTACCATGATCTATAGAGCTGTTAAATGAAAGATTTTAGGTGCTAAAAGAAAGGAGGCTTCATTTAAAACTTCCAATTTTTTTTTTTTTCCATTTTGTACTTCTATGAACTTTTTAAGCACAAGTCTTTCTAGCTTGGTGTCTTTCTTTACAAAAAGAGAAAGACCAAAACTTCCAAGTTTTGAAAAATTCAAAAGACCACACAAAAAAACTTGTCAAATACCTACTTTGTGAATAATAGAAAGCCCATATCTACTCGAAATCTCCTTTGGGCTCTTAAAAATTTTAAAAATGCCATGTCGAGCCCAAACCATGAGAAAAAGGTTAGGTCAAGTGAGACCCAATCCAAAATTGATAAGAAAATTCTCAAAACCATTCTCCATTTACGCCCTATTAAAATAGACAACCCAATTATTAATATAAACTATGAGGTCGGACCTGATAAGACTCAATTATATAATTGATGACTCTACTTCTAACTTGGTTTAAAACAGCAACAAAACCAATTCTAACCAAATTATAATCAAGACACAAATGCATACCCATACACTGTCTAATAACGTTAGTTTGCCTGGTCCTGTCAATGTAAATTATGTTAAGTTGTGGATGGAATTGCAAGATCAAATGATCTTTGATCACATACATATAGATTCTACTTAATAAGTAAAGTAGATGAATGGATTTACAATATAGGTGGCCAGGGTTTTGGGTGGGAGAGAAGAAGTGGAAAATAAGATGTGCTTAGAAAATTGGATTGGGCCAACCGGTCATGCCAGTTAAACTATGACCTGGGGCACTAGTCGGTTTGGTCTTACCCTAGAAATCGGATTTGCTATAAAACTGGCCAAAACCAACTTACTAGCCAGTTTGATCAAAGAATTGGTGAGTCGGTCTTGGTTTCATAAAATAACTTGAGTTAGTAATTGAGATGAAATTTCAAAATGACAATAAGAAGACTTAGACTCATGTGTAGACATTAAATTTTCTCATGGACTTTAGTATGGGTCATTCTATTTGGACCATGCCCCATACTCTTAAATATGTGCATGGGTCTTAACATTTAGCCTTTGCTATTGCAAATCCATTAGCATTATGGAAGGGTCCATGTGGGGCCCACTTTTAAGTCAAACTTAAATTTAAATTATAAGTCTTAGTGGTTTATGGGAATAATCCAACTAAAGCCCATTTCAAATCCCAAAGAGGAAAATCTAGTTAATGATTGAAGAGAGAATAATTGGTTAAAAATCATTCTCTCTATAAATGGTAAATTACCAAACCTCTTCTTTAAGAAAGGTAACTAGAGCCAATCAAATCTCTAGTCAATCAAAGCATATTTTCCCATTGATGAAAGTTAGCCAATGATTGAAGAGATGATAAATTATTCTCTCTAAGATGGCAATAATTACAATATTTTACTCTCTAAAAAGGGTAAAAAGAGCTAATCAAATCCTCGATCAAGGCGATTAAGAGATTAGTCTGAAAAATCTATAAATAGGGGTTCCCATCAAGAGAGAGGGGACTTTTTAGAGTCAAGGAAAAACTAAATAAAGTTAGAAAGTTCTTGGAGAAGGAGGAAATACATCAACAACCTTTTGAAGAGCAAAGCTACAAGACTTTTGGAATTATTGCAAAATCATTCTTTTGATCAAGTTTTCAAAGCCCAATTAAAGGAAGCAATTTTTGTCATTTTCTAATGTACGGGAGTACGTCATCTGACCCTTGACTTCAATGCAATCCAAATCCTTAGATTGCAAGAAGTACATCACCAAGAGAGAATCAAAGGTTTTATCTCTTTTATAAGAGAGTTTAAAATGCAAAGAGTTTGCATCCCATTTATTTCATAAATATAAAAAAATCAATTTTATTTGAACTTCTTCTATATTCAACTTAATGGAGAAGGGGGTCTTTTGTTAGAATCTAAAAGTTTAGGGGGATGATTGCCACTACCCTAAAGTACAAGGTACTAATCTATATTTTACCCTATTATTTTTATTAAGAATAGGTTCCATGGTAGACCTAAGAATAAGTTCCAAAACAAACCTTGGAATCAATCTT